TAACTTAAACCACTACCACCCATGATTTATTCACAAAGAACACAGGATAGGTGCTTTACGATCCAACTTCAAGACTAACACTATTACAGTTCTAGGACTCACACCCGGAATACTATGGGGTTTCGTTGCCTGTATAATAAAACTCAAGCTATGCAGATAAACCACTATTATTTAGGTAACAGCCACCCTCGCTAGCAACGAACATCGCACAGCCAAGGTTGGCGAAACTGAAGCTCCCCCAGGAAACAGCATAAAAAACATATAAGCATCCAAGATCTACCTGGTTTCTAACAATCGACCGGGACGTGCGAGATTAGAGAGGGAGGAGTTAACACCTAAGTTACCCAAATACCAACATTTGGGTAAACAGGTTTCTTACATTTGGGCACGTGACAGGTCAACCTGCTGGAGTTGCGTATGCAACTTAGGTGCATACGAGGTCAACGCGATTGCTAGTCAGCTACCGTGAGATTTTTGGGTAATTTGGGTAGTCAGGTTTCTTACATTTGGGCACGTGACAGGTCAACCTGCTGGAGTTGCGTATGCAACTTAGGTGCATACGAGGTCAACGCGATTGCTGGTCAGCTACCGTGAGATCGCAAGTCGGCAAAACGATTCCACAAGAACATAATTGTTGAATAAGCAGAACCAATAGAGTTCTCTGGTGCCCAAGAATTGAGAACCCCCTGCGAAATATATTTTCACAGACGCAACAACACCAAGCTGGCAACGCCGACGCTAACAACGACGTTTCCACATTGGACAAAGGTTTCATTAGTTTATAATTTAGACATTAAGTTCAGTTTGACCCTCGACAAAAGTTTTCTTACTTGTTTATCTAGTGCGATTATTATGAATGTTGCTCTTAATTCTATTTACATCTATTCTAAATCCCCTGACTAACTCCCAGAGTATCAAACTCAATAAGTATTAACTGAAAATATTTTCATAAGAACTGTAAAAAAAAGTCGGGATCGAGTGTTGACATCTCTAAATACTCCAGTTACCTCGAACTTGGTCTTCTGAATTCCGCCTGCTACAATATTTATCTTACTTGCTCCAAAAAAGACTAGAATAGTTGGAAGCCTGCAATTTCGCATAATTTTTATTCTTGGTAGTTATACTGCAAGTAATGATTTTGATGGTGTTTTATATTTTCTTAAATTCGTTGATTAGCTATTTGTTGATACTATTATTTAGCAACTTAACCTAGTTAATGGTGCTAATATGTCTTATCCTTAAAATTTGTATTTTCTTTTAGTTATATATTTGCTCTCATTATTTCTTATACCTTCGTTCTTGCAGGTATAAAATCTCATATAACTTCTCTTGTCTACTAAAGGAGTCTAGTGTTTGCTTTCTTCGCCAATTGCCTTTTAATCAAACCCTTACATATTTTAACATTCCATTTATTAGGATAGAATTCCAATCCATAAAATATTTGATAAAATACCTTCCCTGTTCAACATAGATTCGTAAAGAATGTGTCAACTTACCTCGTTACAGAAAAATATGATTTGCCATTTACTTTTAAAGTTTAACCGTTTAGATTACCCTCCCTCATTTTTGTTTGGGATTTTCTCTTGTCTGAACGGTCGGACCCAAAGCGTTTCACATAGGGTTGCTTCAACATTTTTTAAAATTTATTTTTGTTAATGCTGGTATATCCTCTTACCCAGTAGTTAAGTTTAAATAAAAAAAGTGTTAAGTTAAACAAGAGAAAGCTTCGCATGAGTTTTATTTAATGTTGGTAGATGATGGTTCAGGGCATCGCGGGGGTACTCCAGACTAGAGCTCTATTATTTGTTTATTTAACGCAGTTGATGCGAATGAGACATCTCCGACTCCATAAAGTATGTATATATATTCTAGATTACTATCAATAGCCGAGTTGATATACCCATGTCTGTTTGTCTTTTGCGAAGTAGTCTATAGGTTTTGCTAGCGTCTTCAAACTTTGCCTAGGACCGTCTTTCTGCTGCATATGGTATATGGTATATGGCGGAACAGTCCTGATCGGACAACCCTATCATATAACTGCAATAGGAGCGATCGGTCAAAAATAAAGTTGCCGTACGAAAAATATTTTTGTTTTTCAAGATATCTTGACAGCCTTGGTTTCAAAATGCTCCCTTCATATATGCAAAATCTTATCATCTTCGGACCATTACATCACATAAATAGCTGCCATAAGAACGATTGGTCGAAATGTGATCTTATAAGACAAAGTATTTTGATTTCTAAGACATTTTTATCCAGCTTAGAATTTATAAGATTCACTAATCTTAAATATCTGCAAAGCCATAAAGCATTAAAGTATTAAATCTTCGGCGTGCCGAAGATATTCTTATATGCTCGTCAATTCTAAACAAAGTTCAATCTTCATATAGCTACTATTGTTAAACCCAAACTAAAATCGTCTGTCTAGACGACCTCTCTAGCGCAGGTGATACTACTCTTTATTCTTGTTATACTCTTGTAGAGGGTAATATATAAATTTATCATGAAACCATAAGGAGACATCTCCGACCCTATTAAGTCTATATATTATAGATAAGCACCAACAACCCAGTAGATAAAGGCATGTCCGTCTGTCTGTTTCTATGCAAACTTGTCTCTCAGATTTGAAGATATCGCCTTGAAACTTTGCACAAGGACGGGTTTCTGTTGCATATACAGTACATATGAAAAGTAAGTTATTGTATGGTAAACTGTTTGTTTATTAAGATATCTTATCCAAGCACGGCGTTTATTAATTGCACTCTGCTCCTCATATATATGCAAAATATTGTCAAAATCGGGCCACTATATCAAATAGCTGCCATAGGAACGATCGCATGGCAAAATGTTCTGTTTTTCAGGATATTTTCATCAAACTCATAATTAACGAGATTCACTGTTCTTACATAAGCATAAGCTTAAGTAATAATGAGTTCAAATATTTTTAATGGGTTAAAGAGTCGCACTCCAGTTTGGACTGCTCTAAATACTCCATAGCCAACTCAACCCTAAATTCTCACTGCAACAATAATTATCTTATCTAACTTGAGGAGTAAGCGTACAATTTCGCATTCTTCTTTTTTCTGGGTTTTATACAGCAAGTAATGAATGATTCTGATGCTGATAACCTCTTTATTAATTGCGTTCAATCAACTTACTCCGTTGTTTCACTTAACATGTCTTGTCCTTCACATTTTTATTTTTTTGCTTTCATTATTTTTCGCTTTATCAACTATAATTTCTTATAAAAATTCTCATGTATCATTGCCTTTTTTTATATTATTTATCTATAAATATATTATCTACACATAATATTTAAGAAAAGAGTCACTTCGACTTTTTGTATTTCTGGAAATCAGTTGCCTAGCCTACTCAACATAGTTTCGTAAATAATCAATCAACAACGATATATATGTACATATGTAGGCATATGTATATCCACTATTTAATATAAAATATGGAGTAGAGGTGGGGGGCTGGCAATAGCTATGAAAGATATATACACGATTCGAGAAGTTACATTTCGAATTTGGTGACTAGCTCTTAACACCTATGTACATATGTATGAGATTTTCTCAATGGGAGAAAGTTATCGGCTATCGGAAACAAACTTGTACTGCGCGGGCACTAGGTTGACCTAAGTTCAATTTCAAGACGCTAGCTTTTACAGGTTCTAAGATACTTGCGTTTATACATGAATATAGACGGTCATGGCTAGATTGACTCGGCTATTGATGCTGCTCAAGAAAATATGTATATACTCCACGGGGTCGAAAATGCTTCTTTTTGCCTGTTACAAACATTACCTATTTTGAATGGGTTTAATGGGTTTTGTACCGCAGATAAAATTATGGATATATATTTTAAAATTTATATGTATATGTATATATGTACATATACATATGAATTATAAAATATATACATATACTAGCGGGTATAGCCCGGCCTTGCCCGTGGCACGTATGTTATAAAACCAATGTTTTCAAACAAATTTGAAATGATTTTGAAACTGATCGGACGGTAAACAAATAACTTTCATACAAACGTTTTCCGCCAATTTACCACTGTTGCGGGTGGAATTTCCCAAATCGCTAAAATACGTATTTATTAAGTTCTTACATAGAGCTTTGAAAATAAGTTTGAAGCAAATCGGACACAACTTAAAACTTCACCCAAAAAATCTTTAAATCGCATTCCCCCCGAAGAAGTTTGAATTCTGCGAAAAGTGTGAAACACGTCTCAAATGATTTTTCTTATAGATCTCTGGAAATGATTTTGAGCGCGAAACGTCACCCATCAAATCTTTGACCTCCATTTCCACCAAGGAGGAACGGATTTTTCGAAAAGTGTGAAACACCCCTCAAATGAATTTGAACAAAGATCTTTGAAAATAAGTTTGAGGCCGATCGGATGGTAATCAAAAAAGTTACATACAAACGTTTTTCGCGATTTTTCCACACTTGCGGGTGGAATTTCCCGAAACCCCGTCTTAACGGGCACCTACATCACATAAGGTAGCTACAGTGAAAATTTCAGCTTCCTAGATCTAACGGTTTGGGCTGTGCGTTGATCACCAATCAGTCAGTCAGTCAGTCAGGACAAACAGTTTTATATATAGAGATATACATATACATATAAATTTTAAAATATATCCATAATTTTATCTGCGGTACAAATAATGAATTTAACTGAAAGTAAACATTTAACAAAATTGAAATTCGGCAGAAGAGTTCAAAGCACCCTGTGAGACTATCACCCTGTATTTTATTTAATTTTTTGAAATGCTGTTTAGTTCTAGAAAATAATATTACTTTATTAACATAATTCTTCACTTTTGTATGTCATTCCACTATTAGTATTAAAAAAAGTTTACACAGGCACCAAATTTCTCTGCATGTATGAGTGAAGGATTTATTATCCAACCAGAGCTCCTTCCGTTTGATGTTATTATATGTACTACAAATGCTTGTATATAATTTCTAACATAAGTATGTACTCACGTTACACAACCGTTCATAATACAATTTTTCTGCATTGTCGTATCGAGCTTTATCAATCCAAACTTTATCCATAACTGTAATTTTGGGCCACTAAAGCATGCAATAATCTACAATAAAAATATTTGATTGAAACTTGACCATTTAAAAAATACTACATGAGTATTCTAACGAAATATTTAATGTGAATTAGCATGGCCGTAGGAACTCTAAAACAGAACACATGTAAAATTATTTTCTGGTAGTTAATTATTGTGGAACGCTCGCGTGCTCCTAGAAAAAAATGCTTTTCAACGGTATGATGTGTATTCGAAATAATTTTCAGGTTAATACAATTTATTAATTTTAATTTTTAAATTTTAAGAAATTATTTTTATACAAATGCACTTTGCACACACTTTCGTAATGAAAATATGATTCAGACCTTTTTGCAAAAGGAGCAAAATGTCTTATAAATAAAAATTTTAATTTAAGCATTTTGATAGCAGCATTTCGGATAACTAGACTTCCCTTGAATTGTTGACGGTGAGACTCACGAGATGCTAATCGTTTCATAATTGCCGTTGGCTTGGTAGGTATACTTTTTAACTATTTAAATAGCTTTATCATCAAAAGCTGTTTGCTGAATATGGCTTTCTTTTGTCATATACAGCTATCTAAGTGCTCCGCCCAATTCACGCAAGAACCATCGTCTATAATATGCTTACCAATTGGGATAAATTTTTAACTTTTATGAACCCGTTCAGAGCCAATATATCAATCAATATTTCAAGAAACTGACATGGTTTTTTATACCCTACAACCCATTGAAAATGGGTAAAAAAGTGTATAATGGTTTTGTGCAAATGAATGTAACAGCCAGAAGGAAGCTTCTCCGACCATACAAAGCTGATATAATCTTGGTTAGGATCAATAGTCGAGTTAACCATGTCTGCCAGTCTGAGCGTATGTATGAACACATCGATCTCGGATAACATACAAGCTAGAGTCTTGCGTAGAGCGAGTATGTTTCGATTAAAAGTGACAGCGAATTTTTTTTTTTTTTTTAATAAAATATTTACGTTTTTAAGACCAAGTGACTGTAAATTTGGCATTAAGACTCTTGTATAGTATGCGCACATCAAGAATATTACACAATTTAGATGCCTCGCTTTCATTTTTCATTCCATTTAATTTTTTAGGTATTTATATAACTATATAGACATACATATATATAGATATTGATGCCTTTAAAATTTCCTAAGAATCACATAATAGACACCAAGGTTAATCAGAAAAGCATTTACTATAGTGTTGGGTTAAGAAAAAAGTAGTCGCATATTCTGGGCCGACAGTGGTACAAAACTCGTTATCTTAAGTGAATCGCGGAGGTGATGATCATAATCTCAATGGTCAGGCTAAAAGAAAAACATTGTTATGTTACTTTTAACTAAAGCCTAGTCGAACCTATCGAATATTTAACTCAATAATCTTAACCACAACTTTTCCGAGGTATACAAAAAATTCAATTAAAAAAATATTTACTCAAGCGAACAGCATTTCATGCGAATGGCAAACGAGTTATATTCACTCTGACATCTTCTGTAAAAGGTTTGAATCTCGTTTTAGGCCACGCTCTAGTTTCCACCATTTGAAGTTATTTTCAGTTAACAAAAACCATGTAAGCAAAGCAACCTTAAATCTCTTATGGTATAAAAAATGTGATAGATTATTTATTATAACTTCTCTATATATACAACTCTTGATCCTGTCACTTCGAAAAATTCATTTTTCTTTAGTGGATATTTAGGTCATAGACGAATCCATCCGAAATTCATCCCTCATATATTTCGGAATATCCAAAACGGATCGAAAAGAAATTTTTAATCTGAGTTTTAAGATTTTTTCGATAGGCTTGAAAGTTATTTATAAATATGTTTGGGAAAATTCATCTGATAATTGACAATTTTCTCAAAATGCGAACCTCTTGGATAATAAATGCGGGAAATAAGTTGAATGGGCGAAATTTCAGGTGTAAGCTCATTCGCATAGATATTAAATAAAGTTAGTTTGGGACGTGTTTCAAGCCTTTCGCAAAATGTCCAACCAGCTTCATACTTATTTTCAAAGCTCTACATGAGAACGAAATGAATACGTGTTTCCAATATTTCGGAAATTACACCCGCAACTGTGGTATATTGCAGCAAAACGGTCGAGTGAACGGTTCTTCCTTATCATCCGTTCTAATGTAAAGTGCGGATCAAAAGCTTAGATAGAGTAGTTTTGAGGTAAGCTCGTTTGCAAAGCTCTTTACTAAAATTCCTTTGAGTGTGTTTATTGCGACGTAGAAGTCTTGTTGATATGCTCTCGGAGTAAATTGATTGTTCATTGGAAAATTTTTCCCACGCAATAGTGATGCTTGGTTTTTGATTGAGCTTTTACAAAAAAAATCTTTGACCAGATGTTTTAACCTGTGCCTTATTCATTTACGCCTTTATATTTACTACCCTAGCGACCTGGGTGAAACCAGCAGCGCTTATGGAAAACTTAGAAAAGCTGGCTCATCGTCGTCGGTGCGGACTGTTCCAACAACCTATGTGTTAAACGTTAGCACCTCATCTGCGAATGCCCTAATACGGCTTATCGTCGTCGGTCCGGGCTGTTCCGACGACCTACGTGTTAAACGTGAGCAGCTCATTAGGATCACCGAATGCCATAAGCGCGTTTCCAACAACCTTAAAAACTGCTGCCTGTGATAGTTTGTTGGCTGACGAAGCTTCGTCGTGACCGCGGTATGTTGCGAACAGAACATTAGTAAGGATCCTTTTATAGATAGTCCTGATATGATACTCCTGATACTCCAACTGTTCTCGGTTAATTTAGTGAACCTGTCCCTTGTCGGCATACGTAAACTTCAATCTAGCTTTAATGGTATCGAAATTATTTTTTTGTGCCGAAAGATGCCAGCGTGTTGTCGGCAGTGACCCTTATTTTATTTCTTGGCGTGACTTCCCTTTATGATCCATACAAAATCTATATGCAGCCTTTGCCGCTTGGCGCCAAAAAACATAGTTTTTTTGATCCTCGCAAAGTACACCTACCATGGTCACATCCTAATTTACTTGTAACTCAAATTTCGTCACCACCAGCTTTTTTCTTCGGCTTGGGACATCCTATATTTATACCCTGAACACATTGAAAATGGGTAAAAGGGGTATTATGTATTTGTGCAAATGTATGTAACAGGCAGAAGGAAGCATCTCCCACCCCATAAAGTATATATATTCTTGATCAGCATCAATAGCCGAGTCGATCTAGCCATGTCCGTCTGTCTGTCGTCCGTCCGTCTGTCCGTATGTATGAACGCAAGGCTCTCAGAACCTATAAGAGTTAGAGACTTGAACTTTTAGCTGTAGGTCCTCCTAGTCCCCGCGCAGATCGAGTTTGCTTCCGATATTCGATAACTTGCCGCGTTTCCAAGTAATCGATAAAAATCGATATCGAAATCCTGTTATTTGAGCAATTTTGGCAAATAATATGAGCTAGAGTCGCCAAACTTACTTGTAGCTTCTAGAATAGTGTATATATATCAAGTATTTTTCATTTTATACCTATCGCCTGTCGGAAAAAGAGGTTTCAGGGTATCCCCTAGTCGGGAGCTCCCGACTATAACCTCTTATTTGTTTTCTATTAAACTCGTGAAGAGAAGTGTTAAACAAGTTCTTTCTCTTCGCTGGGCATTTCAGTTTTTAGAAAAGAATTGGTTTTGTTGAAGGGTTCAAGATTAAAATGATGCAATTTTTGTTTTCTTTATCCAAAACTCATCGTAAATAGCTAAATAGGGTAGGGTTTTGTGCTTACGTATGTTGCAGGCAGAAGGAATTATGTCTGACCCCATAAAGTGTATACATTCAGTAGCCGAATCTGTCTGTCCGTCTTTGCGTCCGTCTGTACGTATGTACGAACGCGCTGATCTTAGAACCTATAAGAGATAAAGAGGTGAACGTTGGGCCTCCTTGAGTCTGCGAAGTAAGAGTTATTCGACAATCGATAGTATGCTACTTTTCCAATCAATCGATAAAAATATATATTGAAATGCTTTTTTTGTCCAAATCTCTAATGTCTTAAAGCTAGACTCACCAAATTTGCTATGTAGCTTCTTGAATAGTGTTGGCGCAGATCCGCGCATTGCTTGAAAATGAATTTAAAACAAGAAATGTAGTGTAAGTTAGGTTTAGGGAGGAGCGAGAGCTGAATAAAGCTTTTTCACTTGCACTGGGAGCGAATCCTCCTCGCTTCGCCGCCTGAGCTTATTTTAGGCTTAATAATGCCAGAAATAATTACAAAATAAATATATCCTGCTGCCATTGTTAGAGAATACCAAGGAAAGTATCTTACAAACGTCCGGAACAACAGGTACTGTGCTAAAAATTGAAGGCCCAACTCTATTGGCTGGGTTGCGCTAATGAAGCCAACGCTTTCAATTCTTGGCACATATGTAAAGCAGTTGAGCATAATTAAAATTTGCGAGTACTTACTAACCGCTTTGGATATTCATTATCTGAGCGAATGATAATCAGTGTCAAAAATTAATTGTCACTCCAATTTCATTTCGCTTAGTCTTTGTCGTTTCCCCCTTCTTGCCATCACTCTCAACCACTATAAATTATACAGTCCGAGACAAAGCGCTTGTTAATAAGTGCAGTACACGCATACATACACACGTACATAGCAAGCCAGCTGCAGCCCGTTTATTTTCGTTCCGCTTTGTGCTTTTTTGGCTGAGCAATTGTTGTTGTACGCACTTTCGTTGGCACGTTTAGATCAAGAGAGGCTCGCTCCGCCACTCTTAATTAATCAGGTATATCACTTTTTTGAATTCGATGAAAAAATTCGATTTTTAATTGAAATTAATAATTATTAAGTCGAAGTAAGATTCAATATGGCAACTAAAGAAAGTTTTGACGATTCAAAAAAGAAACGCTATATGTCCATTAAAAGGTTAATTCAGAGTTAGAGTGTAGATTAGAAATGCTGGCCTCACATATAGATACAGCGTTAAAATATCAGACTCGAGTAGAAACTTTTGACCCAGATAATGACTATCGTGCGGAGCTCGAAGAACTTAACGACAAAAGCTCGTCTAAGGTCCGTTATCAAGACATTAATCCTGCAACGCCTGCAGGCATTCCCGTAGCGG